TGTGTCATTTACAAGTTTTTTAAAAGTTTGGAAATGTCATTTACTCAGTTTGTTTTGCTGATCTCCTCTAAGGGGAGAGGAATCTCCTACAAGAAGGCCAAAACTACCCACACATATCCTAGGCTCAAATGAGAACATCATCTCTACATCTGTTTTGATATTGGTAACTTGTATCTTCTTTCATTTTCTCTTGGTTAGTCAGGCTAGAAATTTATCAATTTTATTTATCTTTTCCAAGGACCAAGTTTTGATTTTGTTGATTTTCTCTACTGTTTTCTTATTTTCTATTTTATTCATCTCTAATATTTACTATTTCTTTTCTTCTGCTTGCTTTAGGCTTAAATTGCTCTTTTTTCTCTAGTTTCCTAAGGTGGAAACATTATTGATTTTAGATCCTTCCTCTTTTCTAATATATGCATTTAATAGTATAAATTTCCCTCTACGCACGGCTTTCACTAAAACCCACACATTTTGATAAGTTATATTTTCATTCTACTTAGTTTAAAACATTTTGTAATTTCTCTTTAGACTTCTTTAAACTATGGGTTATTTGATAGTGTGTTTTCAATTTCCAAACATTTGGGGGATTTTCCATCTATCTTTCTGTTCTTTATTACTAGTCTAATTCCATTGGGAAGTAAAACATACTTTGTATGATTGCTCTTCTTTTAAATTTGTTAAGATGTATTTTATGGCCCAGAATGTGGTCTATCTTGGTGAATGTTTCTTGTAAGGTTGAGGAAAATGTGTATTCTGTTGTTGGGTGGATTTGTTAATTGGATGTAGTTGACTGATGGTGCTGTTCAAGTAATCAATATCCGTATTGATTTTCTTTCCACTTGATGTATCAATTACTGACAGAAGGGTACCAGAATCTCCAGGATAATAATGGGTTTGTGAATGTCTCCTTTCAGTTCTCTCAGTTTGTCTCATGTATTTTGATATCTTTGTCCATCCCCTTACTTTCACCTATCTTAGTCTTTATATTTAAGTGGGTTTCTTGTAGAAAACCATATAGTTGGTCTTGCTTTTTATCCACTAGGACAATGTCTGTCTTTTAATTGGTGTATTTAGACCATCGACATTTAAAATGACTATTGATATAGTTAGATTATATTGGCCATGTTTGTAACTCTTTTCATGTGTTGTATTTGTTCTTTATTTTTAATTTTCTCCCTTTTCCTTGTCTTCTGTTTTGAGTATACCAATTCCTCCCTCCTATCCCTTATGACTTTGCTGTCATTCATTTCACTGATCCATATGCTATAATCATCTAACACATTTTACTATTATTATTTTAAGCAAAGAGTTATCTTTTCGATGAATTAATAAAAAAAATATATTTTTATTTTACCTTCACTTATTCCTTCTCTGACACTCTTTCATTCTTTATGTAGATTCAAGTTTCTAACCTATATAATTTTCCTTCTGGCCGAAGAATTTCTTGCAGAGTAGGTCTGCTGGCAATGAATTTCCTTGGTTTTGGTTATCTTAGAAAGTGTTTCTCCTTCACTTTGGGAAGATAATTTCACTGGATATGGAATTTTAAGTTGTTTTTTTTTAACACTAAACATTTCACTCTACTTTCTTCTTGCTTGCATGGTTTCTGATGAGAAATCTACTTTAATTTTAATATTTGTTCTTCTACCAGTAAGGTGTTTTTCCTCCTCTGGTTTAAGATTTTCTCTTTGTCTTTGGTTTTCTTCAGTTGGAATATGATATGCCTAGGGGTGTGTGTGTGTGTGTGTGTGTGTGTGTGTGTGTGTGTGTATGTGTGTTGGTATTTATTCTGCTTGGTATCTTATAAGCTTCCTGGATCTGTGGTTGGATATCTATCTTTAATTTTGGAAAGTTCTTGGCCATTACTGATTCAATATTTCTTCAGTTCTATTCTCTTTCTTTTGGTATTTTAATTATACATATATTATACTTTTTGCAATTGTCCCTCAGTTCTTTGATGTTCTAATGTTTTTTCCTTTTGGCATTTCAGTTTAGGAAGTTTCTACTGACTCATTTTCAAGCTCACTAATCCTTTCCTCAGCCATGTCAAGTCTACTGAAGAGCCCATTAAAAGCATACTTTATTTCACTTCTGTTACAGTACTTTTTACTTATACCCTTGCCTTTTGATTCATTTCTAGAGTTTCCACATCTCTGCTTATATTACCCATCTATTCTTTCATGTTGTTTACTTTTTCCATTAGAGCCTCTAATCCTTTTAATCAGTTATTTTAAATTCTCTGTCTGATAATCCCAGCATTTGTGTCGTATTGCAGTCTGGTTCTGATGACTGCTTTGTTTTTCCAGGCTGTTTTTTAATTGCTTTTTGGCATGCTTGTAACTTCTTGTTGAAATCCAGACATGCTGTATCAGGTAATAGGAAGGGAGATACACAGACCTTTAGAGTGATGATTTATGTTAATCTAGCAAGGAATTGGGATACGTTAAATGTTTGCTATGCCTGTAAGTGCCAGAGGCTTCAAATTCCTCTAGTGTCCCTGTTTTTGTCTACCCTACTGACTTTGAGCTTCCCTAAATACTCCTCCTCAGAGAGAGGTTGTATCTTGCAGAACTTTCAGGTATAATCCAGTGTTATTATTTTGGAATCTAGTGGTGTAGTGGTAGGATATGGGTGAGGGATAGCACTCCATAACTTTCCAATTAAAGCTCCATCTTTTGGGGGTCCTATGTCTTGTGGCTGTCACCTTCTCAAGTGTATTTCCAGTAGTACAGCTTTCCCAGTAGCATAGCTACAGAGTTTCCTACTGATTTCCTTGAGGTTCTGACTGCTGTTGATTATATCTCCCCCCAACCCCAACCCTGTGGTTGAGATAAGAAGTCTAAAAAGGAATGCAATGGGAGAAATTCCTTTCCCCTAGCTGGGATAAAGGTTTGGAGAACAGGGCTTCGTTATGGAGAAGGCTCTGTAATATTCCATGATTACTCACCTCTTTCCCCTCCCAGAGCCATGATGGAGGTGGGCAGTGGGGGATGGGGGACTCTCTATAAGATCTTCACTGAGAGAATCTGCTAAGTTTACTGGAAATAAAGCCCATGAAAGTATGCCCCCACAAGACTGCAACCCCCAAGAGTTTCTCGCTCTCATACTAGCAGTCATCAGAATTGCCAGCCAAATGATCTTACAGCTTACGGCTCCAGTAGATTCTGCTTCAGGTGAGCAGATCTGGCTGTGACTCTCTGGATGTACCTGACTCTCCAGATTCCATGGCTGTGGTCTCCCCTGCAACATCAGTTCTCTCGGTAGTTCCAAGAAAATTGTTGATTTTCACTTTATTCAGTTTCTTCTTACTGTAAGGATAGGAGTGACAACTCCTAGGCTCTTTACAGGTTGGGGTGAAACCAGAAGTTCCTTCACACCTGTTTTACATAATTCGCTGTCCCAATCAGAGTGCTTGAGTCCTTGCAAGTTGCTTGGCTGCCAACTATACCCCTCCTAGCCTTCTTTAGGTTACAGACTCTTGTTGCTGCCAATTTCCTCACACCTTGTCCTGCTCGGCTCCAAGTGTTATATAACCACGGGGACCTCAGCTGGAGCTGAGCAGATCCGGCGCTCCGTCTGTTATCAGGTGGTCTTGAAGGAAGGCGGCCCCACAGGAGGCAAACCATGAAGGCTGGGGACTTGCGTCTTTAGTTAAGGATGCTCTTCTGGTATATGATGAGCTGTTGAATCCCTACTTCCCCATATCTTGGAGAAGAAAGAAATGCTGTGTAACAGATAACCTACAGATCCCAAGGCATGCCCTTATGTCACTCAGCGTTTTATATGATAGCACTGTGACAGGCTCGACACAGAAGGATTCATATGGACTTGAGGTGAGTTATACTCATGTAACTTAAGAAACAAAGATCTTGTTACCTGTCTCCTTGGCTGTATCCTCTCCCTGTTTTCTTCCTAAACAGTACTTTTGTAGTGCTTTTGATTTTCCTTAACCATAGATAGGGTCATCTTATGCAGACCTGGATTCACCTTCATCTTATAATGACTGAAATTACAGGGCAGGCATTATTCACTTCAACACTGATTGATAAATAGGATGTGTATAATGTTTACATTCCTCTTAGATAATGACACGGGACAATAAAGAAGCAACCTATTGATCTATGTGACATTTTTGGCTGTGAGGTGCCTGAAGCTTCCAGATGAAGCTGATTAATTTTGTTCATGGACAGATACTATGTAACACAAGATGCCAAGAAGTAAAAAATTGGCTCCCTGATGGCCCCTCCAAGGGCAAATACCTCCAAACTGGGGGCAAGGGAAATTCCTCCATCTTTTCAGAAAATGCCACCTCCCATACCCTCTGTTATGGAATGTAGGCTGTCACGGCGAACAACATGATGGGGAGGGTGAAGAATATTGCAATGTGAAGAGTATTTAAGCAATATTCACCTCTGGGAAGATTTTCTCCCTTAAGCTGGGTTTGAACTGTTTCACAATATTTCCCATGATGCTGAAGAATATCAGGCCTTTAAAAGTTTTCTAAGATTTGTTTTGAGCCATCTAGTCTCTCCTCCCTTTCCCAGACTTCACTGAGACACCAGGCGGGTAACTAAGAAGGAGGAAATGAAAGGGATTGGGGTGGAAGTGCAGAAGGGAGAATATGAACATAAATAGAAGGTTAGGAGAGGCCCAGAGGATGGACGGAGATGAGTGGAAAAGGCTTGAGAGAAGACTGGTGACAACAGAGAGAGGGCAATTCCTAGGGCTGTACGTAGAAAGGAAGTGAGAGAATGCAAGGCATGGTGGAGATTCGACAAGTGATCAATGAGAGAAAGAATAAGACTAGGTAGGAGATGTAAAAGGAATGAGGAAAGGAAAAGGAGCTGAGTTTAAGAGATGTATAACTGTGTGTGCGTGTGTGCACTCACACACACACACACCAACCACACAAGCATAGCTACCAAAGAAGGGCTCGGCCCACTGCAGTCAGTAACTGTGTTGAGCAGAGAGAACTATTTGCAATAACTTGGAAATCATACCTTGTTTTGTTTAAGGGCACCTTTCTCTTTCATATGAGGGCAGTCCTTTCCCGTCACCACAGCTTTGATATCTGCCACCGGCACTGCAATTCATAAGAGAAAATGAAAGTAACTACATCATGTGACAGCTTAAGTGTCCATAAAGTAGCAAGACTAAGCATCGAGTCTGCTGCTACGGCTGCCATTCCCAGACACTACCGCTAGAAGAGAAAAGAGGTGAAAAGAAAAGAGAAGTCAAGCGGTGTCCAGGGCTAGGAACTAAAATATATCCTTATATCCTGGTAAAAAGCATCCCTGGGGAGAAAAATCTATGTTCATAGTAGAATTTGGTTCAATAAAGCAAATACCTAAAAAAAGACCAGAAACAACAACAACAAACCCATCATAGTTGCATTAAAAGTGATGGTATTAGAAGCAGCGGTAATAATCATACTAATAGTGGTACTGATACCGATTTTATGGAAGACATCTATGTGCCAGGAGCAATGCCAAATGCTTCCTACAGATGGATATCTCCTGCTACAGTTGCTACATCTCTTTAGTTTCTGAGTTTTGGATAATGAGGGGAAGTAACCATATCACAAAAAAATTTATCTGAATCTAAACCATCCCGAACTCTCATTCTCCAAATTCTCCCTCTTACCATCTCATTACTTCTCACAAGCATTCTGTGAGGCAGGTTTTATTATTCCTATTTTATGGACAATGAAATTAAACTCAATTAAAGGGAACATTCCTTTCTGATAGGGAAGTGGTAGCTGGTGTTTATCTTGGAAATCCTGAGTGTAATGCAGTTTGATAAAGTGATGTTATCTCTCATCCTACTCAGAACTTGGGGGAAGATAAAAGATGTGGAAAGGTTTGGGCCTTTAAAGCTTTTGTTAAGGTCATCTGATGGAGAGAAGGCAGTAGGATGGTTTGGAAGCTTAATTTAAAAAACTGCAAAGTCATCTGTCCCTTTCCAATTCCTAATCTTTCACTCCTGTAAGGGACTGTGAATTTAGGAGCTCACTTAGGATCTGCAGAAGCTTTGCGTCATCAATTCCTTAGACTCCTCTAATGATGAAGATAATGAGAGATTTCATGATTAAAGTTCACCTATTTTTACTGGGGCATTGGGTTTGGGGGTGACATTTAGATGAAGAGAGAATTATAAAATATATAGAATGTCAAAACGACGTTAACAGGAAGGCTCTTTAAAAGCTAACATTGTCCGGGTGCCCTAAAGTTGCTAAGAACTTTGTCCAAATCTGTGACACCTCTAGAGCTCTCTCAAACCCTAGAGAAGAGGGAGGCTGTGAGGAATTCTTCCAGGATTCTCTGCAGGCACCCGCTGCTAGCTCAGTCCTGATTCTAGATCTCTTTGGTAGACCTGACTTGTACTCACTAATGACTGCCTCTCCTCTCCTTCCGGCCATATGGAAGACTGCTCTTCCCAGCAGTTAGGTGGAGCCATACGATTAGCTCTGGTCAATGACATGTGAGAGGAAATGGCCTCTTTCTTAGCTGAGGCAGTGAAAAGTCCACGCCTACCAGCCTCTCTTCTCCAGCCACAAGGACTGATCCGGTTCCATGGTCCATCCAGATGGCACAGCTCTGGGATGGCAGAGCAGCCATTGGCCTGAGTCCCTGTGATTGTGTGGACCAGTCCTTCGAAAGCCCATGTCAGTTACGTAATGTGAGGAGTGATAAATAAACTCTTGCTGTCCTGAGCCACTGACATTGTGGAGGTTATTTATTCTTGCAGCAAAATGTAGCGATGCAGCCTCTCCTGAATGGCATGACCCTTGACCTTGGACTGCTTTCCTTCTCTGCCTGGCTGCTCGAGATTGGCCTCTTCTTTTAGACGGTCCTTGTGATTCCTGAACCTACCTTTGACCACAGCCTCTGACTTCAGTTCTCCTCAAAATCATTTTCAGAACCAACAATCAGCCCTGTTCTCAGTGGCTGACCTGGCTCCCTAATCACTACCCCAGGAGGAGATATTTGGGCACTTTGGGAAGCTGGGTTTACTTAAGATTTACTTTTCAATGAAAATCCACCACTGAAGTGAATCTGCGATATAATTCACATACCAACTCCAAAACCCTCCTCAAGCTTCAGATGGAGTTTGAGTCACAGGGTAGTCTTCTGTTGTATAATATGTAACATGGTCAATGAAGATCTATAAATAGTAAAAGTTACCCCTCGGCTTTGAAAACTGGGCAAGATTAACTCGGAACAGGACAAGAGTAACACTAAAGTCTGTCGTGCGAGCAGTCTTTAGAATCTCTAATGAGAAGGAATCAGCGGAGAAAAAGCACTCTTCCACCGTGCTTGTGGCATTAGATATTTTATGTATTTTACATGCATTGTCCCCTGTCAAGGAGACGAGCTGCTATATTACTCACAGGATTATGGCTAAAAGGAAAACACAAAATTCTAAAAATACAGCATGGCTTTTAAAGGTTGCTCTTTACATAGTTTGTCTCTAGATGCACTGGAAAATTAGGCATCAGAAGGGCTAAAATGCTGTCCTCTCTAAACCCATGAGCAGAATCAGACTCATATCCTTTGAATCTACACTCTTAAGAGGCAACAGAGGGCCCTTGATTACTTCAAAGCAGGGCTGGTGTTTCTATCAGGCCCTTTTTTGTAGGAGCAACATAACTAAGTGGGGTTCAGAGATATGAGAACCAGAAGGGTCACCACTGGTTCCCTAACACCCATTCTAACTCCGTGCGGCCTGGCCTCATTTCTTTCAATGCTTTTTTCAGTTTGAGCTGGATTGAGACAATCTAATTCAACGCTCCCATTTTATAGATGGGAAGACTGAGGACTAAAGAGAAGAAATAAATCATGCAACGTCACACAGCTAGTGAGGGACAGAGCTGGGACTGCTGCTCTTTCTTCTCTTCTATGGTCCCTTGCTAGGCCATGATTTTTCCCTATGTTTGGAAGATGTCGGCCCCCCAAATCATGCTGAACACAGCCCTGGAAGTGGTTATCACTTCAGATATGTTCAGGAAACTCTTTGATTGCTACTATCTGGGGAAGGAACTTTAATCATGATTTAAAAAAAATGCCTTTGAAAAAGTAAATGTGGCCACCATGATAAAAAATTGTTCTAGCTTTCACCCCTGGGAGCCAAGCTGAGGCAGAAATCACCCCAGGAAGTAACCAGTAAGCCATGAGCACTTGCTGTATACACAGCTCCATCGTGGAAGCTCCTATGGGCAGAAATACAGAGGAAGGGCAGGCTGATCCCAGTACAGTTTAGTAAAGAATCTGGACTCTAACTTAGAAGCCTGGAGTGGTTGGAAGGGTTGTGCCTTTAGAATCACAGAGCCTGGATTTGAATTCTAGGTGCACCTACTGGCTATACCACTTTGGGCTTAAGTTCTTGGAGCATAAGCTTTCTTGTCTACAATGTAGAACTATAACATCATCCATCTCATAGGGCTGTTCTGAGAATTAACTCAATGCTGGAGCCAAGATCATTGCTGGCTTTGAATCTAGGTGGTCTGGAGAAGTGGGTAAAAATCTAGGCCATGGAGTTGGATGGTTGCATTCAGATCTTTGCTCTATTATTTATTGGACATGTGACCTTCAACAGGTCACTTAACTTTTCTGTACCTCATTTTCCTAATCCTAATTTTCCGATGATACCTACCTCTTCAGGTTGTGGGGAGGATAATTTATCATGTAATGTAGAGCTCTTAGCACAGTGCCTGGTGTTGAGTAAACACTCAAAAGATGTTATTTGCTGTTGTTCTCATTAACAACAGTCGAAGTTAATTCTCTCTGTAGATTGAGGGACCTGAATTATTCCCCATGCTTCAATGACCCAATTGCCCACTTTGCTTTGCTGTGGCCATTGCTCCTCTCCTCTGCTGTAATAGGCTTAATGGCCTTGTGTGAGGGAGCAAAACCCTTTGATGTGGGAGTGAAGAGCGCTGGCCTAGACTCTTTCAAAGGGAGTCTCTGAGGGGCCCAGGCACTGCTGGAAAGCAGAGGAGTCTGGTGTTTAGTGGGGGTGATGAGAGTCTATAAACCTGGTGGGAGGAATGTGGGGCGAAGGGAGGTTAGGAGATGTGGATTTTCAAGGGCCATGTTTCCTGCCTAACAAAAGGAATACGAGAAGAGAGATTTGCTAAATCTTTAGACATGAAGACAGCTACGGAGAGGCCCTCAATCTCCACTTGCACTCTCTGGATTAAGAGGATTCAATTATGCTATTTGATTCACCAATATCTCAGTATTCAGCACTGATTAACTCAAGGGGTGGAAGACAATTTTCCCCTTGGTCGCAAGAGAGGGCAATTGTACATGGCAAGAGCAAGGGTACTTGAAATGAATTAAAGGAATGTCTCATTTTTCTCGTGGAATGAGGTTTTTGACTAAGGGCTCCAAGAGGATGGACTATTTTGCTCCAGGCAGGATGCGAGCTGTAATTAAATGCAAACCAGATGGCAGGCCTGAAGCAGCAAACTTTAGTTTCCTAGGCTGGGACCTTCTCATCTCAGGCACACAATAGCTTCATTTGACTTCATTACATGAAATATGCCCCCTCCCTGGCACACATGTGCATACACATATAATCTCCTCAACACACACACACACACACACACACACACACGCACACCCCACATCCTCCCATATGCACACACCTGCACAGGTACTCATTCTTGGTTTGCCTTGCAACGGATAACTGTTTACGGAGCAGCTCTTCTGGAACTCTGAATTACTAGACTTCAAAGGCCGCAGAGGAAAGGAGTGGATGAGTTTCACAGCCACTGTCAGAGGGACTGATGCAACCCTTTCCCAGAAGCAGCCTCACTCTGTGGCCACGACCAAAAACTGTTTGGAGATCTGCAGCTCTGTCCTGGCTCTTCTGCAATCACCCTGGCAAGCTGGCTCTCCCTGGCATCGGCCCTCGGGTTTCTAGCCCAGAGACTGTTCCTACTCAAGGCTCAGGTGCTGTCCACGACTCGACCTTCTCTAGGGGCAGGGCTCCCGACTTCCTAAGCAGCACAACCAGCGAGAACGAGAGTGCTGCATTTAAACCTACAGTCCACGCCAGTCTAGTGCCTATCTGTGGGTTGAGGAGTGGATTAAATCCCTGTAACTATGGAGATAAATAACACACCCAGTGAGTGGGAGAGCCGATTCTCTGGGCCATGTAGGTTAGGAATGGTTTTTTTGTTTTCCTGCCCAGACCACTTTCCCTATTTCCTGGTCAGGTTAAGAACGAGGCGGTGAAAGACTTCATATAGAGCTTGTGGTTGCTTTGACCTCTAACTTTTCATTTTACTGCATTAGAGCAGAGATGCCAAATGGCTGGCCTCTGGACAGTTCTGAGTTCATGAGGGAGGTTTCATCAGTGAGTTTTTCACCAGTTAATAGCAAACAGAGGAAAATGAAGACACTGCTGTGACTTTTTCACACAGCTAATTTAATTTAGTACAAGGGACTGTCCTTTATTCCAAGATTAGGCCTTTCTGGTCTTTCATTTTGTTTGATCAAGAGCCCTTTTTAAAATGAAAGCAATGTGATATTAAATTTTAGTTAGATTTTCTTTTATAATAGCCTTTATTTCTGCCAAAACTGAAAGTTGGCAACCCACTGTCGATTCACTTTTCTTGTTCTTTTAAAATATTTATGTATTGGTGAAAGCCCAATTTAGGGACTCACTATGAAGCGTGTCAGGCAACATCTGGCTCCACACTTCTCAATTTGAGCGCTCATCAGAAACGCCTGGAGGGTCTGTTAAGACAGAGGTTGTTGGCCCCATCCCCAGAGTTTGTGATTCATCAGGTCTGGGAGTGAGGATCTGAGAAGCTGCATGTCTAGTAATTTCCCAGGTGATGCTGCTGCTGGTGGTCCAAAGACCACACTCTGAGAACCACTGGTCCAGCTCTGTCCATGGTGGGATGCGGAAGGCTTTCTGAGACCTGAAGGGAGGGTCCTTATTACAGGCAGAGGCCTGGGGAGACCCCATAGCAAGAATGCATAGACACTGCCCCAGACTCTGCGGTACTGGGTTTCAAATAACGTGGGCTGAAGAGGCAGTGCTCCCATGAAAAGAAATAAGATTGCCTTCTGAACTAAATGACACTATGAAGACCAGACTGTCCCATTTTTAAGCTGGAGGAAGCGAGAATGTTCCAGGCTGTCTGTCTGATATGTCAGCCCAGAGTCTGAGTGTGTCAGGAATTTGCCACTTGTGGTTTATTTTCCCCTGTGATGGCCATGAGCTGCAAGGAAGACAGTACAGATTTGACTTCCATAGGCCCTGGGGTGACAAGGGGGAAGGTGCTAGGACCTGGAGGTAAGGATTCTGTTTGCGACTTGTTTATATGACTCATGGCAGGGTCCAGGTGACTTTTAAAAGTTATTTTAAAGTGTCTTTACTTTTTTCTCACTCTTTGATTTCTCTACCTGAGATATCCTCTGAGGCTATGTCTAACTTTATCTCATTTCTCTTCCAAATTAATCCATTACCTTTGTGTATTTTAATATTTCTGTAATACTTTGTTTAATTAGTACACTTAATGCTGACTAAAAAAACCTGGAACCTGCTTTGGTGTTGGGCTAAAATAATCTAGCATATGACTGGCTCTTTAAAAGACATGGTACAGAAATAGCAAATCGGTATAAATAATATGTATTTTGGGGAATATTTAGGAAACAACAGAATGCTATTGAGTGTCTGAGTTACTTCTTTGAAGTAAACTAGCCATACGTGGATCTGGCATTAGCTCTGCATTATAAGTGTGGGATACAGTAAACTATAATGCATAAACGTGGTGGGATCAAGTACATGATTCATGTGAAATTATTTTGGGTCATCAGAAAAAGACAACTGACAATCAGGTTTATATTGTTTTTGCTCCTTAGAATAACACTTGGACAAGTAACGTAAAAGTGGGTGTTTGAACCCCAGGTTTACGTCTTTCAGGAAAGATAGGTGAGCACCCTTTTACACCCTCCCCTCTTCAGTCCCAAACCACAAATCCATCAAGGTCTTATGCTTGATGAGACGGCTCGGCCAGGACTCACAGCTAGATGAGACATGCCTAATGGGTTTACTGAGGTTGATAGTCTTTCTGCATGATATTCTGTGACCAGGAAACGAACAAGCAACCAAAACTCAGCCCTCCAACACAGGAGAGGCACTTACGTTTGTCCTGCAAGGAATCGTGGGGCACTTCTCCCTGAGGACTTTCTTCCAAGTCTCCATAATGCAGGACCTTGTGGTTTGGTGAAAGCCGACAATACCAAAACTTGTCTGGGGGAAAAAAAACACAAATTTACCAGGTAAGCGATTCTGGTTTCCAAAAAATATTGACATCCTTATTTCATCATAGTCTTGCCTAGCAGAACACGCAGTTCCTTCGATTTTAATTCTTCAAGAAGGAATGATTCTAGAGCCCTGGCAGTTAGCCCCTTCTCGATTTTGATATTTAGTTAGCTCCTGTCCTTCTTGGTAGACATTTGGTACCACTGGGAAAGTTATCAAATCCTTTGAGGACAATGGCAACAGAGTTTCTGAGGTGGTGGCTTCCAGAGGGTTACTAGAATGACTAGGGGATTATTCTTTATTCAGTTGGGCCTGACAAAAGTGGGGAGGGAGATGAAGAAAAAACAGCTTTCTGAGAATTTTTCTGCTTCCACTTTCCTCTGTGAGGTGGTTGTGCCATATCTCAGTTGGCATATCAAACCCCTCACCCCTGAGGCCTATGCACACAAACTAATCAATGAATAAATTGTTAGGAAGCTAGTGACACACACAAGGGATGGAATTCATGAGGAAATACACTAATGATTCAGAAATTTATCCAAGAATGAGGATATTGCAATCATCTCCTCTCTCTTTCCTAGAGTTTAGTCCTCTTAAATAAGTGTGACCAGTACCTTAGGATCATTCTCATAAATAACTCCTTTAAGTTGACTTCCCCAAATGTAATAAAATTTTTTGAATAAGCTGGTGAGGCAGCAAGAAGGAGGCAGAGAGTGCTTTTTCTAGATAAGAAACTTAGATTGTGACAGCAATCTTTGTGCAGCTCTCAGGGCTGTGCTAGATGCTGCCTCCTCCAGGAAGCCCTCTCTGATTACTGCAGCCAAAGGGACCCTTCCCATCCTCTTAGCTGCTCCAGCATCTCCTTGGATCCTTGGTGCTCCCATGTTAAGCCCCTTAGTATTCCCCATTATCTGCCATAGACCCTAGGTAAGCAACTTGCCCCAGTGGGTTCAGTGTGAAAGGTTACTGACAGAAGAGGACTCCAGGACACACATCAGCCCTGACAGTGTGGAGAAGCCAGGGCGCTCTGATGACAACCACTGTCTTCACAATTGCACTGCACTGGTCCCTTGGCACAGTGCCTGGCACGTGGAAGTTACACAGTTGCTGTTGGCTAAATTGATAAATGAAGACCCACCGGTCAAGATGCTTAAGGCACAGAGCATCCCTGACCTGTAAACCCCTTTGTGACATTATGCAATTGGCAAACACAGTGGCCTTGGTCAAGTCACCCCATTACTGTGTCTACAAACACAAATTATTTTGAAGCCACTCTGACCAAAAAGGTCTCTATAATGTTTAAGAAAAATGTTCTTCTACCTAAAATTGCTTTCACTGCAAAACCACATTTTAACTACAATTCTTTTGTAGAAAAGAAAGTTTTAAAACTGGAAGTAAAAGCCACACAATGAACAAAGAAAACACCCAAACTGGATCCACAAAAGCAAAATGCCTCTGTGATTCCTTTCTCATCTATAAACAGGGTTTGAGAATTCCTGAACGTAGCCAGAATATGGCAATCCATATACTTAAAAAAATCTAAACGCTGGTGGGAAAATTTGAGAGGAAAGAAACAGTGATTTGAGTGCTAGGAAAACATCTGGAATTGCTAAATTTTCAAAATTCTGTTATATATATATACCTATACACACACACACATATACTCAACAGCACAGGTCATTCTTCTGGGAGAGCATTTCAAAGGGAGAAAATAAAGTTATTCCCTGAATAATTCATGACCATTTCAATTAGGCAGTTTTCCATAAGGAGAACACATTTGGGAATTTGACTTGTAATTCACAATAGGAATTGCAATTCCAAAGGAGAGGGCCAACTTTTGGCCACGAGCACCAACAGTGCTCTTGGGAACCTGGCATGAGTAATTGTAGAGATTTCTTCCCCCCAAAGGACCTTTCACCTTGTCTAAATGAACTGTGATGGCCACAAATCTAGCTGGAAAAATTTCCTAGAGAGCTCTCCTTCCCCTGCTACCTCTGAGATGGGACTTTGGCTAAGTGAGCAACTGAAAAAGGGTGACAGAAAGCTGGGAAGGAAGTTGGTGAGCTGTAGTGCTTGAACACGCTGGTCTTATTTTGAGTGAGGTCTTAGCCTGTTCTTCCTAGAAATCCCTCACTTTTCAAACCGGGGTAAACTCTAGGGATTGGCAGTGGTAACCTGAAGCCCAAGGGTCAATATGGCACAAATGGATCAATCATCCTCAGTATAATTGGGGGAGCATCGAGAACTTTAAGTGGTACAAACATATACTGTGGAGTAAAATGCACAACTTACATTCCCTTGCAACACTTCAAAAATTTGCTGCACATACTTTCGTAAGTTGTCTATTTAATACGTTATGTCTATTTCTCCAGTGAATATTTGCAGAGTGCCTACAGTACTCTACTGGGTGTAGCAAAAATTATTAGGATGAAAGGCAGACATGAGGGACAAAGCCAAGCAGCTCAAGGAGAAGGAGCTCCCTAGCTCTTAGTGGCAACTTAAAGAAATATGGTGGAAACACTTGTTTCCCGGGTCTGGGAAGTAGGGACCGTGACTCAGCAACTCTGCCTATACTACAGGGAAAAACAGGAATAGGGAAAATCTCTTGTGCAACACACTCCTACATTCAGAAACTACTGAAAACAGTGGCTATTTATCAGGGTTCCGGGAGGTAAAACAACCGTCTTCCTTGAAAAGCTGTAGTCACTGTTTGTTTAAAGAAACACAAAAGGCTACTTGGAACCTTGCCATAACAATACAGGGTATAGCTGACAGATTTTCCTCCTTCCAGAGGCTTAAATTCTCTTGACTTTTATGACACCACCAGCTTCTGGTTTTCCTCCTACCTCTGGCTACCTCTTCTCTTATCCTATAGAAGTTCCTCTTTCTCTGTCTACTACTAAGATGGTGGAGAGCAAAAGATCTGTGCATCATTGATGTGAGTGATGTGTTCTGCTCCTCCCATCAAATAGGAAGTCTTGGATGGATGACAAAATATTGGAAAAGGGGCTGAACGGCTTGGGAAGGTTGTTTTGACTCATAAACAAATGGGTGGATACTCAGCCAGTATCTCTCTCAGGATAAAGGCTGGAGTCGTTAGCTCTGGGAAGGTTTAGAGGCATCATAACTCGTGTGTGGCTGTCTTGAAGGCAGAGCCGCTCTAAAGGAGAGCAGAGATGCCACCTCCGACCAGCAGAGCGCACCGACTTGTTGCGTGAGACAGTTTCAGTGTCAGCCATCAGTGGCAGCTTGATTCGCAGTTTCTTTTATGGTAAGAAAAATGTGTATTTTCTATTCAAAACCCAGCATGATGTTACTAGTTCCCCAATCCCTCTGGGCAATGAATGAGTGGATTGTGTCACCAAAAGGAATTAGCAGGAAGCAGTGAGAACATTAGCAAAGATTGTTTAGTAGCATTTAAAGAGAAAACAGGAGTTAGTATAGAGGTCTTTCAGTCAATTAGAAATGTTAGTACGTTAATAGCCATCTTTTCATTCCCCCAACTCAAAAACTGAAAATATGGAGATAATTTTGTGCTTCACTCTTTTTTTCTGTGTGTGTGTGTGTGTGTGTGTGTGTGTGTGTGAAGGTCAGAGGGAAAAGCTGGTTTCAAAGCTCACAGCCTGGTAAGAAGGTCTCCAGGGCTGATTAAAGTTATATGTCACATAGATCATTATGCAGCTAATCACCCTTGACAACTGTAATTCTTGCAGCAATGTTCGAAAGAACTTTCTGCAATGATGCAAATACTCTGTACCTGCTTATTCAATAGTAATAGAAGAAATTTTGAATCTTATTTAATTTTAATTAACTTAAATAGCCATAGGTAGCTATATGGAACAGTGCAGCTCATTGTCTCTCTTCATACCCAGGCTGGAGACAAGTGTTGGGTCGACCAGCAGGTGTTTATGGGAGACGGGCTAGCTGAATAGCTACCATTGTTGAGTGTGAAATGTGGACTGTAAAGTGAGGCACAGGGCACAGCAAGAACCGAGTCCTGATGGACTCTGCCATGGACTCAGGGGGACATCTTTGTCTTGTGCGCAAAGCCCACAGTTGGCAGCTGGCTGCTGGCCCAGGGGGCCCTGAAAGTCCTGCATTTGGGAGACAGGTGGCCTTTACTAAAGTGAAATCTTATGGCACTTCCACTAGGACTTTGGGTCTTTCTTAGGTTAACCTAAAATGTGCAAAATCTTCAGCGTGCTAGGGGAAGGTCTGCTTCCTGCCTAGGGTCAAACGTTTCCAAGTCACAAAACATGAGGAACCCCAGCAATGCTTTTAAAGGGAAATGTCATCTTCCAGGTGATGAGATAGAAGATATCTCTGTTAGTTCAGTAAAGGAAGACAACAACTACGGATACAGAATGAAGGTCATTCCGCCTTTCAAATCTTCCTCACTTCACTGAACATTCTTCAGAAGGAGATACTCTTGTTTTGATTCAGAATTCTGTCTCCCTGGAGACTCTCCTTTCATAGCAAAAGATTAACTCCAGAGCCCCCGAGTCATTTTAAAGATGGTTTGGCCTAACTGATACTTTGGAGTCACACAGACCTGAGTTACACACCTGGTCTTGACACATCAGCTATGGAGTCTTGGCCAAATTATAAAAACCTTAGGGACCCCTATGGTTCCTCTGTTAAGTAACACTAATAATTATATGAGTAAAACATATACAGAGAATCCATCATGCACCTTCCACAGAGCTGGCTCTCAAATATTAGTGCCTTCCTAATCTTCTAGTCAATGATAACCCCTCTCATTCACATTACTGGTCTCTCCACCCTTTTTTTTAATGTTTTTTTTTTCCTTTTTTTTGCGGTACGCAGGCCTCTCACTATTGTGGCCTCTCCCGTGGCGGAGCACAGGCTCCGGATGCGCGGGCTCAGCGGCCATGGCTCACGGGCCTAGCCGCTCCGCGGCATGTGGGATCTTCCCGGACCGGGGCACGAACCCATGTCCCCTGCATCGGCAGGCGGACTCTCAACCACTGCGCCACCAGGGAAGCTCTGGTCCCTCCACCTTTTGAGAACAATGATTATCTGTTATTTTCATCTATTGCAAAGTGATTTTTTTCTGAAAATAATCTGACTTCTCTTCTTTTGAAAAAACGCATTTACTTATACCTGCCTTTTTGTAAAAATGAGTTATGATAAGGTTTAATTAAATATTAAAAGAAAATTTCAATCAAAGAGGAAGAAACAACCTGCTCCCCAGAAGGGTTCACATGGTTACTGAAATGACCTGAACGTACCATTCGGCTCTAGGTCTCCTGAGCGAGCTGAAAGAACAAGGCAGGTACACCGCCCTTGGCCTCGGCGCGGAAACATGCCAACTCCTCTGGGTACACGTGTCACTCACCAGTGGGTTTCAGATTAAGTTTGTCATGTTAATGCTTAGAGAAGGGATACTGGTCAACAAAACGGACACTGTCTTCAACAAGAAGCAAAAGTTTCATACTATCATTTCTTGAAAATGATACTCCAGTGTGTAGCCCTGGGCTCTTATCAAGACTATTTAATGCAAGTGATTCTGAAAGACCCTAATCTCTGAAAAGAAAGGAAAATAGGAGGCAGTTCCTGAGCCTGTAGATTCTCATGAAGCATATAACAGCTCGAACACAGACAACTTCTGGGATTTCATCTTAACTCTCTTGAGAAGTTCAGGAAACACGGAAGCAAGGCAATCTCATTATGAAGGATTGTGAACAAGAGCCTTTCACATTCCATAGAGAATGCGGGACAGAGTGAAGCAAGTATGTGACAGCCGTTGCCACTCTATGGCCTGTGTTTAAAAACCTATATTCTAAGTAACTGTAAGCTAAACTTAATACTAAATACCATTAATGAATGTTTGACCGTGTGCTGAGTACCAAGTGCTACAGATGCATGATTTTATTTAACCCTTGCAATGATTCGATGTAGGAACTGACATCATCCCCACTTGACAGATCAGGAAACAGAAGCACAGAGAGATTTATTAGGTTGTCCAAGGCTACCCAGCTAGGGGATGGGGAGGCAGGGACTTGAATGCAGCTTGGTGTGTCTCCCATGATTTACTGCCTCTCAGTTCTACTGTGGTCAGAATTCCCAGAAATCCAGATTTGTATATATCTATATTGGACTAACCAAGTAGCAGAGTTGCAAATGAGGCAGGTAGAATGATGGGCAAGTAGCAACTCAGGGGCCTTCTAGCCAAACGTGGCACACTAAAGGGCTCTACATATGCTCCTCTCCTTTCCAGTTCTGTGAGAGAGGAAGCTCTTTCCTATTTTCCCCTGTAAAGTTAATACTTAAATGCACTCATCTGTGTTTGACTCACTGTTGGACAAGTTTAGAGGGAGTGTGGTCACGCACGGGCCCTTTGCGTATGTGCTTGCTCTTTAACCTGGGATGGCTCGTGGCTGTTCCTGTCTGAGATCTCACCTTTCTCCAAGGGATTAAAATGATTTTCCATCATGTCCTCACTAATGTGGGTAAATCTAAATAGAATGTTTTGATGGGGTGATAGGAAACCAATTTCAGCACAGTCTGCTTTGAATCCCTATTTTTAACCACACAGAGCTAGTCACCAGGTTTTAGATCAATTTACCAAACACCAAAAAGCCTTCCTTCACTTGGAAGGATGATTTTATACTAAACACAGATGGTCGTGCTCCCTAGGGAGTTTAACTAATAAATTTATAATCTAGATGCTAATATTTTTTGCTCAGTAGGTAATTCATTTTTAGAAAACTGGAAAAAAGTGGCATATTTGGGACTAACACTTCTTTAGCCAAAAAACTGTAATTATGACATCTAGAATCAGGATTATTCAAGTAGAATCTACCCATTTCAGCCTAGAAAGGGAAGTCTCGTGGTGGAGTAGACTGGAGGGTAAAATTGGGTTCTCTGAATTAGGTTCCGAAGGATTCTAGCTAGGCATGAGCGGAGGCATTTGGTGGCATGTGTCTATTTGCCACCTCTCTCCTCCCCCCACTTCTGTGCCTTTTGCCCAATGTCAGGTAAATAAAAACTTTATAAATCACCTTACGCGGGCAATATATCCTGAATATTGATTTTGCCAAAGGCAGTGAGGAGATCAGAGCATACAGTAGGCAATCTGGCTGACTGAACTAATAGATCATCTAGTCCTATTCTCCCACTTAACAGATGAGAAACCGTGGCCCTGAGAGGTCACGTGTTCTGCATATAAACACCCAGGTGGTTAACTCTGTAAGTACAGAGTTGAGAAGCTTAGAACCAAGTCTACTCACCCCCAGCTCATTGTTCTTTTCTACAGGATCGTCCAGAATAAAACAGTAGCTACCACCCCCTTTGTTTAAAGCTGCTTTCTAAGAGCTGCATTCATGAGCACTTTTCTTCCTCACAATAGCTTTAGGAGACAGGCATTGTTAACCCCATTTCAGATGGGGAAACTGCTCAAGGTCACAGAGCTGGACAGGGACAGAGGTAGGAAGGTACCCACTTCATCTGGCTCCAGGGCTCTTGTCTTCCTCACTGTGCCACACTATCTTCTTAGAACAGCATTCACTCTGATGAAGGTGCCCAAATGCAAGGAATGCAGTGAGGAAAGAGGGGGTGAACCAGTCCTCCAACGGCTGAATGGGAGAGGTGAGTTCCTTCTTCCTAATGTGAGCCTTTGTCAGTCCCAGCTGTAACTCAGCCCTTTCTTACTCTGCCCATTTGTCCTCCCCCGAGGCCCAGCCTGAAGCTCATTGTCATGGTTTCTTTTCTTTTTTTTTTTTTAACATCTTTATTGGGGTATGATTGCTTTACAATGGTGTGTTAGTTTCTGCTTTATAACAAAGTGAATCAGTTATACATATACATATGTTCCCATATCTCTTCCCTCTTGCATCTCCCTCCCACCCACCCTCCCTATCCTACCCCTCCAGGCGGTCACAAAGCACGGAGCTGATCTCCCTGTGCTATGAGGCTGCTTCCCACTAGCTATCTACCTTACGTTTGGTAGTGTATATATGTTCATGCCTCTCTCTCGCTTTGTCACAGCTCACCCTTCCCCCTCCCCATATCCTCAAGTCCATTCTCTAGTAGGTCTGTGTCTTTATTCCTGTCTTACCCCTAGGTTCTTCATGACATTTTTTCCCCTTAAATCCCATATATATGTGTTACCATACAGTATTTGTCTTTCTCTTTCTGACTTATGTCACTCTGTATGACAGACTCTAGGTCCATCCACCTCACTACAAATAACTCAATTTCATTTCTTTTTATGGCTGAGTAATATTCCATTGTATATATGTGCCACATCTCCTTTATCCATTCATCTCTCGATGGACACTTAGGTTGCTTCCATGTCCTGGCTATTGTAAATAGTGCTGCAATGAACATTTTGGTACATGACTCTTTTTGAATTATGGTTTTCTTGCACTGCTGGTGGGAAGGTGAATTGGTACAGCCACTATGGAGAAGAGTATGGAGGTTCCTTAAAAAACTACAAATAGAACTACTATATGACCCAGCAATCCCACTACTGGGTATATACCCATTGTCATGGTTTCTTATCCTCTGGGAATAACCAGCATTTTCATTCGTCAAGGAAGTTCTGCCTTTGGACATTCCTTAATATGATTTTTAATGCTTACATTCGAAATACGTTGAATTTACTCAATATTCAGCGCAAAGCCATTAAAAGTAAATGGCCGGGAGGATGGGCTCAGCATAAACACGAAGTGATGTTTGTCATTAGTGGGCGAGGTCTGTGTCTGAGCAGGGCATCCATCAGGTTTCAAAAGTATCTGCCAGGGTTTCTCTGGGGCCATAACTGATGTTTGTTCTTGGTACAGTTGCTAATGCTTATGCTTGTTCCTGACTGTTCCCCAATCTCGTCACCTCTCCCCAAATCTTATCTTCCAATTTTATTTTCTGACTATTTGTTTCCAGGACAGTATGATATGAGTACTTTGCAATGAGCAGTATGTCAAGAAAGCAATCAAGGGACTTTACTTCCCTGGCTAAGAAACAGCTGGAAATTCTTTCCACCTATTGGAGCTAGTCTAATGGCATCCATTTTAACTGGATATTTTGGGATTAAAGTTTATAGAGACAGTCCAGAAATTTGTCTTGCAAGATTATGAAAATTGATTCTATCCCACCTTGGTTCACTGTTACTTATATCTACAAATAAAATAATTCTGACTTGGAAGAGAATCAGTATAGGGATTTGAAAATAAGGGCCATCCATGCTGAAAATTTCAAGATCAAATCTAACAGTGGGTGCCAGCTCTCCTGATAGCATAGTGAATCATTAAAAGTTAGAGCCATAGAGCTGCTGGAGTATAAATCCCTGCTCTTCTGTGACTTTGAGCAAGTTACTTCGCACCTCACTGCCTTAGTTTCCCTATCTGTAAAGTGGGCGTAATCACAGTAGCTATTTCATAGGGTTACTGGGAAGATGAAATTCATTAGCATAGGTAAAGTGAGAGCCTGGCAAATGGTAAGCTCTCAATAACGTCAGCTGTTGTTGAACCACTACTGGCAGACTTGAGGCACGAAATGGCCCAGGTGGCTCTTCAGTTCCACAGGTCTCCTGGTGATTCTAGATTTTGATTCTCCCTGGGTATACATGGGAAATCAGAACTTACCTGGACTGCTAGTCCTGTCCTGAGTACAATGCTGCATAGCCTACCCTTAAACCAACACCCATGCCCATGTGACTCCCCAGGGGGCAGGCCACTGTTCTTCCTTGCTGGGTCTGGAGTGGCCCCAAACAATACCTTGCCTCCGCCGGCAGTTGAGTTTCCTAAAGCAGGTCCCTTCCACGAGGCGGTTCAGGCGTTGTTGTTTGATCAACTCCAAGATTTCTGGCTGAATCTTCTCCTTTAGTTCCCTGTGAAAGGATAAACACATATTCCACAACGCGCCTTGAGAACAGCACTTGGCTGAAAGGGCACCATGGGCAGATGGGGCAGGCGAGTGCAAGCTGCAACTTTTCGTGAACAACCCGATACTCCCAAGTGGGTGCTTTAGAGAATCATTTATTAAGCATCAGTGGAAAGAGGTTCTCTGACATTTACAGATACCCACAAGAGCACCAATCACTTCAGTGACGTTTCTCTAGACCAAGGTCTCCCGAGAAATTTCTTCTCTTGTTTTACAAAGCCACAGATATAAATTTATGTGAAAATTCACTCAGCTCTGCTGAGACAATGAATCTCTGGTCATGTTCTGCCCCCCTACAGCAGATAAACTCCTAGACTGCATCTGTGATCTGCCACCACACGATGACTATTCCACAGCAAACACAGTATCGGGCAAAGTACAGGACCACATTTTGCTTTGGATTCTGTCACTTACAACTGGGAACAACACATTGACCCAGATTGTAGCCCACAGAGGTTGGGATAATGAGAGGATAAATTAAGGCTTATTTGGCTCTTGTCTCAGGGTAATACAATGTAATTTAGGTTTAGATGCACTATGCTGTAAAGATATGATAAGAGAGTGCAATGGGTTTTAAATCTTTTATTTCAAGAGCAGAGACTTTTTATCATGTGAAATTTTATGTAGTGCCCTAGCACTTGAGTCTAGTAAAGCTAGAGTTGTTCTACTTGAGGATGTATAGAGAGACCCAGAGTCCAGCCCTCAGAGCAGTGTTGAAAGCACTGACCCAAACTCAGAAGGACAGGACTTCAGTAGGCTCTGCCCATGACTGGCATTTCAGGTAGCTCCTGTAAGTCTCAGTTTCCTCATCTGTAAAATGGGAATAAGAATCTTTTCTGTCCCAAAGGAGACAGTGTGAGTGTAAGTTAGCTGTAAGCATTGGGCAGGAATGCAAGGTGTTACTGAATTTGCTTTGATGATATTCTCTTCTTTCCTCAAGCCAAATATTCCTGGTGTCCATATTACACTGTAGTCAAGGCTCACATTTTTGTGAGCTTCAGCCTTAACTCTGGGCTTGCTCTGGATTGCAGGCAATCTGTCTTCACATGGTGCTCTGTTTCCAGGTGCGGAAGGCACGGACACTCGGTAAGTGTGTGCTATGAGCCAGGTAGTATGTACCATGCAATTTTAGCTCATTTAACACCCCTTCCCTCTTCCCCACCACAAAAGCGCCAACTTTTGGGAACTGGTATTAATTTCATCATTCCCATCTCACAGATGGGAAAGAGTTTACAGAGGTGAAGCCCTGAATAGGGGTACAAACTCAAGTGCTTCTTGTGCAAACTGCATCTATTTACCCATGAGAAAAAAAAAAAAGAATAAAAAGTGATATAAAAGGATCTGGCCATCTAACAAGGTATTCTAGAAAGCTGTTAATACATATTTTGGCCTTAAATGGCCTCAAATGCCCTGTCATTTGATACTGTTCCAACTGACTATTTATAAAGCCTAATGTGAAGATTCAGCCCCAGAGGTACAGCTTGGTGCATTTGCTTTACTTGCATTTGCTTTTCCAGTGTGGGTCTCACAGGGTCTCATCTCAGGCTTTCAGATCACTAAAACTATCTGTTATCAGCGTTCAGCTTTTGTAGAATGGACTCAGCAAATTGCAGCTTTGATGAACCCTGCTCCGAATGGAGAAGGTGGGGAATTGCCAGGGCAGCTGCTCACAACAATAAATCACCACTCCTGGCTTCCGAGTTGGGGCGACGGGGAAATCATGGGAGAGAGAATCTGAATTTCATCAAGTCTTAGGTTAGAGATGTATCTTTAAATAATAGTTTTACTAGGCTAGAGTTTAGTTATTAAAATGGAGATGAAGATGCAGAGACAAGGGCCAAAAGGAGGAAATAACTGAAAGAACTTGATGATTTATGATTTTTAGTGTAAGACCCTGATGTGCTCATCGTGACACACTCCATTTATGAACCATCTTCGGAGACAGACTATCAGAATAAGTGGATCTGCTGCTACAAGAGTTACCTTTTCTTGTTATGAACCCCAAAGGACTCCAAAACATGATTAGGCGATGTGGGAAATGGAACAGATTTTTTTTTTCCCCCTAAGTTATATCCTCTTCTTTCCCTGCAAATGGACTCAGTAGTTACCAAATTCACTCATATTAGGAAAACATATGCAATCCCTATATGGTGTCTCTGTGAATGAGATATGACCTCTAGGGTAATCCAGGTAATAACCATGGGCTGAAATTGGGTTTTGAAATTCTCAGGTTGGGGCTAATGAGGTCAAGGTCACGGCTTCACTGGCTTTGCTTTGATAAATATTCCCCTAATTCTATCTAAAAGCCCTGTAAATAAATAAAAGGAGGAAGATTAAAGGAGGGAGAATAAATGAGTGTGTGAAGAGCAATTCAAATTCTAACACTTTTTCCTGAAGAGAATCCCAAGTCCAGGCCCAATGAGGCCAGTGCCATGTGCAGAGGACAGACAGCACCACTAGACTAGTGAGACTCCTTCCTGGACCTGGGGTCTGCCCTGCCGAGCTGCCATCTGGTGTTCATCTAGAACAGAGGTTGGCAAACTTTTTCTGTAAAAGGCCAGATGGTAAATGTTCCAGACTTTGTGGGTCATACACTCCGTAGCAACTACTCAGCTCTGCCATGGTAGAGTGAAAGCAGATGACAGCATGCGAACAAAGGAGCGTGGCTGTGTTCCAATAAAGCTCTATTTACTAAAACGGCTAGTGGGTCAGTTTTGGCCTAAGAGCTAGTTTGCCAATCCCTGATCTACAAGGGCTCTGGGGAGACTCTGGGCTGAGTAACAGTGCCTATTTCATAGAAATTGATCTGTTTCTGTCTTACTACAGGGTCCCCAAGGTCATTCCTTGCACCTCTTTCTGGTCTTCATATTTCAGACTCATGACTTTAAACACCAACTTTCTGCTGACTACATCCAAATTTACTATTGTAACCTAGACCTCTCAGCCAAACTCCAAACCCATCAATCCAGCTGTCTATTTGGATATCTCACAGACGCCTCAAACTTGACAGGTGCAAAACTAAACTCTTGATCCCCTTGTCCAAGCCTGCTCCACTCACTCTGTCCTTTAGTTGTTCAGGCCCCAAATCTGAGTTCATCCTTCTCTTATACCCTTCACCTAATTGATCGGTAAATACCTTTGCTTCTTATCTTCAAAATCTATATAATCTGTGGTAGAGACTCTAATCACTTCTCATCACCTCTTGCTTGGATTATTGAAATAACTTCCTCACTGACCTCTCTGCTTCCAAACTTGCCTCCTTGGAGTCTATTCGCCATACAACAGCAAGAGAGATCATTAAAAACCCAAGTCAGGGCACACCAGTCCCCTGCGCCAGTGATTCCCCAACAAGGTCCCACAAAATCAGGCTCCTAGCTACCTTTCTGGCCTCGCCTCCTATTGCTTGTTCTGCTCCAACCACACTTGCCGCCTTGTTACCAACTGAGTGCCCAGACCTACTCTGACCTCAGGGCTTTTGCACTGGTGATCCTCTCTGCTGGAAATCGTTTCTCCCACATACACACATAGCCTGCTCCCTTAGTCCTTTACACATCTTTACTCAAATGTCACCATGCCAACTAGAGAGATCTACTCTTGCCACTTTATTTAAAATCACAAACTCTCCATTTCCCTTATTCTGCTTTTTATTTCCTGTATCCACTTTTGAAAAAAAAATTATTTTATTGATGTACAGTTGATTTACAATGTTGTGTTAATTTATGCTGTTCATTAAAGTGATTCCATTGTATATATTCTTTTTCATATTCTTTTCCATTACGGTTTATTATGGGATATTGAACATAGTTCCCCGTGCTATACAATAGGACCTTGTTGTTCAGCCATTCTATATGTCATGGTTTGCACCTACTGAAAATATGGAACACTTCACGCATCCTTGCACAGGGGCCATTCTAATCTTCTCTGTATTATTCCAATTTTAGTATATGTGCTGCTGAAGCGAGCACTCCTGTATCCTCTTTTAACATGCTACAATCTTATTTACCATGTTTATCATCTATTTCTCCCTATTTAAATATAATCACTACAAGGGTGATAATTGTATCTGTTCTCTTCACTGCTGAATTATCAACACACAGAGCAGTACCTGGCAAGTGGCAGGTACTTGATAAGTGTTTATCAAGTGCACTGAACACTGGCTTTAGCTACGAGAGCCGTGAGCAAAGCTTGTGGCCAATCTTTAGCAAGGATGCAGGTTTGCAGGATAGGCACTAGCCTTATTTCTGGCTCTATTTGCTTTTACTGTTTCTTTCTCATCTACTTTTACTGTACATTCTGAGATAAGATGAGGTATAAACAAATACACTCACAGTGTCAGTTTTACCATTTACATATTGACACTGTGACACTTGTTAAATTCTGGTTATCAGCTCATAATAAGGGTGACCATTTCTCTGAGTGGATGTTATGTGCGGGGCATGTGCTAAGGGCTTTTCATGCACTATTTCATTGAGTCCTCCTAACAACCCAACGATGTGGACACTTTTATCATCTTCACTTTTAGACGTAAGAAAAACAGGTTTAGAATGGGTGACAGAACTTGACTAAAGAGCCACATCTGCAAATAATGGCCTTGGAATCTGGTCCTAGGTCTGTTAGCTCCTGGGTCTGGATTTTCCACATTTTGCTTCTCTGCTTCCCTGGTGTTTGTCCCTGCAGCTCCCCTTCCCCCAGCATCATTGTAAATGACCTATTTTGGGACTATTCAAACTTTTTACATCCATTAACTCGGATTAATTGTGTGGATGGACTTATCCTTCCCATAAAGTCACACTAAGTAGAAAATAACAAATACCTCCTTCTGAAATAATTAGTCAAGAGCTAAGAAATAAGAGTTTCTTCAACCCACTGAATACACAGTCTCCCAAAATATTTGGTCACTTGGAGTTTGCATTTTCCTTCTCAGGAAATACAAACATTTTATAAAAACAAGACACATGCCCAAGGGATCTTCATGGTGCTGAGATTTGCCTCCATGCTGCGTGCAGCAGCCAGGTGATGGGGAAAGGGCAGCCAGCGGGGTTCCGCACCAGCAGGCAAGCCCCAGCCAAGCCACTGCCCCTGTCTGCAAAATGAAAAGCTTGAACGGGATGACCTTAAAGATGCTTTTCAGTTCTAAAATTTGAATATCCTAACCCCCAAGCTTGGGTTAGATGAGTTTCCTGTGTGCTCTAGTGACAACCCACCCGCCTGTGCTTCCTCCCACCTGGCACTGAGCACAGTCCCTGATAATCCTTCCAAACCCCAGCTTTAAAGTCTGGCACAGGGACAGCCAAGTGTCTCTGGTTCTCTGCCTGTCCCAGCACCTCAGGCTGGGCCTGGCAGGTAGGAGTCACTCAATACACATTTGTTAAATGAATGAATAAATGAATGACTGAAGACTATCGTACATGGTCTATGCCTTTTCTTTCTTGACTTGGGCTTATCCTATAAGCCACTGTGACAGCATTTGGACTTCATCTAACCCCACGGTGAGCTCCTGTCTAGCAGATCATTCTAACAGACAGAGCATCGCTGGAGAAGAAGCTGGAGGCTGGTACTCTCCTGCCTGTTTTAAGGGCTCTGGGATAATGACCAGGCTGGTTCATGGCCTCCCCCGTGAAATGCTGTAGCTCTGACAAGTCTTTGTGACTTTACTGCAACTATACCCAGAGCTCCGGTGGACCGTGGTGCTTTTCAGTCCTGTGGCCGAGTGGTGATGCCAAAGTTACGTATAACAGGAGATTCCCTTAATATTTCCATTGCTTCTCTCTAAATAATAAGTTTAAAGTAAGAGTTTCTTATAATAAAGGGAAAAGAGACTTCAGAATGTCACAGGCAGAGCCTTGGGAAGTAAAGTTAAGAAGCCAAAGCAGGAGCAAAGTTTTCATACTTGACAAGCAGTTAACAGTCTTACTTGGAATCAAAGTCACGGTCAAACATTACTTTAGAATCACTTGGCCTTAACTGAAGTGGTCCCTCAAGTCTCCCTTTAGCTTTTAAGAATTGTTGTCAAAAGCACAATAAAATCTCCTTGTGTTCACACATCTGCTGAAACATCCAACATTTTAGTACTGTAGGCCCTGGGATGGGGCAAGGCGCCACTGTCCCTCCTTGCAAGACAGAAACTGCATCAGGTATCACCTCACATTGGTCAGAATGGCCATCATCAAAAAATCTACAAATAATAAGTGCTGGAAAGGGTGTGGAGAAAAGGAAACCCTCCTACACTGTTAGTGGGAATGTAAATTGGTGCAGCCACTACGGAGAACAGCATGGAGGTTCCCTAAAAAATTAAAAAATAGAGCTACCATGTAATCCTGCAATCCCACTCCTGGGCATATATCCGGAGAAAACCATAATTTGAAAAGATGCATGCACCCCAGTGTTCACTGCAACACTGTTTACAACAGCCAGGACACGGCTAAATGCCATCAACGGAGGAGTGGATAAAGAAGATGTGGTATATACATACCATGGAATACTACTCAGCCGTAAACAAAATGAAACACCATTTGCAGCAACATGGATGGACCTAGAGGTTATCATGCTAAGTGAAGCTAGCCCAACAGAGAAAGACAAATATCTTATGAAATCACTTATATATGGAATCTAAAAAAAAAAGAATGATATAAATGAACTTATGTACAAAATAGAAATAGACCCACAGACATAGAAAACAAACTTGTGGTTACCAAGGGGGAAGGGGAGGGATAAATTAGGAGTTTGGGATTAACATATAAACACTGCTATGTATGAAACAGATAACCAGCAAGGACCTACTGTATAGCACAGGGGACTGTACTTAATATTCTGTAGTAACCTATAAGGGAAAAGAATCTGAAAAAGTATCTATCTACCTATCTGAAACTGAATCACTTTGCTGTACACGTGAAACTAACACAACATTGTAAATCAACTATACTTCAGTAAAAAGATTTACAAAAAGAAAGAAACTGCATCTCGGAGGAGTCATTTATTCAAAGTTCTTTCTGCTTGGTATATGGGGCTGTTACCTTCTAGTTGAGGACCAAAGCAAAACCCCAGCTCTGCCTCTCATGAGAGCTGCCTGCTGACCAGTGTGGGTATAGTTTAATGCAGATGCAAGCCGAAGACCCTGAGGAAGCATTTCCCCTCCCCTGCTGCCTAACTTCATCCCCACTAAAGCCTGCAGTTCTGCTCTGCAGCTTCTAATGGTGCTTCTTAAGGCTTGAAAATAAACACAAAGTAGACACTATAGCTTGGCTATGTTTTATTCTGTGTACTTTTTAAAACTTCATCTTAGTCTTGCACTTGGCAAAGGAGCTCTGGTAGGGTAGATGAAGAATTAGCTAAGGGATCAGTGGGCTGGAGTTCAAGTCCTGGTTCGTCCACTTGTCAACAAGGTCCTCCCTTCTCTAGACTATATCCTGGTCCTCGAATGGGAATGAGATTGGCCTACCTCACACAGGTGTGAGGAAATGAAATAGCATGAGGAGGTGGTTTGCAAATTGCCAATCATTAAACATGTCAAATATATGAAAGCAAGAAACAGAAAGGGGGAAGAAAGAAAAAGAATTAGAGAGAAAGGTTTAAGATGAACTTCATGACACCTATGATGTAAGATGGCTTCATTGAAAGCTCAGAAGAAGTTGTGTCCAGCCTTCCGAGGGAACAATAAGAGTAAATGTCAAACACTTTCCTTTACCCCCAACCCTGTTTCCTATTCCCTTCCTTATAAATGATAAAGGTAACAGCGCTGACCTAGCTCTTAGAAAAGAACAAGGGAAGATAAAGAGGCCAATACTAAGAAAGATAAAGCAAACAAAATAGTCTAAAACAGTGTTCATGTTCAAGGTTCAGAACATCTTAAAGATGGAGATTCATGAAATTACACAACCGTTGCAAGTGCATCTGATACAAAGTCCTATAAAAAGGGGTCCCCCCCCAGGGGGCTTCCTTGGTGGCGCAGTGGTTGAGAGTCCGCCTGCCGATGCAGGGGACACGGGTTCGTGCCGCGGGCCGGGAAGATCCCACATGCCACGGAGCAGCCGGGCCCGTGAGCCATGGCCACTGAGTCTGCGTGTCTGGAGCCTGTGCTCTGCAATGGGAGAGGCCACAGCAGTGAGAGGCCCGTGTACCACAAAAAAAAAAAAAAGAGGTCCCCTGATTCTCCACCTTAGGCCTGTGGGTTGATAGTCACAAGAGCCATATGAGACGTTCTGACTCAAAGCAGAGCCAACGGGGCAGGGAGAAAGTGGGTCTCTCTCTTCCTCTCAAGCTGGCTCTCCCTCCCTCCTACTCATGATACTTCAATGTTCATATTGCTTTAATTACTGGTAGGTCTCACTCTGGCTGGGGCAGAACATCTTGCCACTCAAGGGTACCTACATAGAATATAGCTTCATGGGCAAAACAAAGTTGTCCCAAGTATTACAGAAGGTTTCAAACTTTTCAGCTGCAAATTCTTGGTGGACTCGTCAGTAACTGGGTCACTTCTTGGTTTAGATCCTCCTGCCAGCACCTGTCCCCATCTCCTCCTAGCCCGCCCCTGCCCAGCTTTTCTCAAGGAGTTGCTGAGACTTCAGGAACTGAGTAGAGCTCTTTTGTTGGCCTTCCATAAACAGCTCACAATACAGCCCAGCTGCGTGATAAGCTTTCACTCTAGAAATGGTGCGTCAGAGCCTTTGAGAGGTAGGGGTCAGGGGTAACTTACAAAATCGGGCGAGACTGGAAGTCTTCCTGGTTCATCCTCTCAGACTGGCGGATTTTCAGGATCTCGGTGTAGCTCAGGTTCTGCAGTTTGCTCTTGAACTGGTCCAGGGAGCTAGGCTTGGTTGTAAGAGCTCTCATAACCTGCTCCTTCACCACCTGCATTACCTGTGAGATTAAAGGAAGACCATAATTTTCCTGGGGATTGAACTTACCCATTCAGAAAAGTCTTCCACGGATAACGGTTCCCTACCCACTGATCCCTTTAGTTTGCACTCTCAGCCCTAACTTCAAGAGTGCTTTTCCAAAGAGTCAACCACCATGATGTGCAGCTTCTATTTTCTCCTGTCCCGCTGGAACCGCAAGGAAGGAGGTGGATTGACTAACTATGAAATGGGGGGGACTGCGGGAGACTTGGGGTGGGAGGATATATGCATATTCATTTGCTTGATATATTATGTGACTGTAAACAATGCAAATTCAAGAGCGAAAGAAGTCCAAGCAACAGCTAGAAGTCTGCATAATCATTATTTTTTTCCAGGAGAAAATCGCTGAGACACAATTAACTGTGGAAGTTTGGTTGGCACCGGTTCAAGTGAATGTGAAATAATACCCACACCCACCCCCTCCTGGATTGCTTTCCCCATGTAGTTAAGGCCTGAGTGTTCATACAAATGATGTATTTGGAAATGTGCATGTGGTATTGCCTCTTTGAGCCAGGCACTAAAAAAAGAGGTCTACTGAATTAGAATAGATATATCCCATTGGAAACCTCAAGAAAGAAGAATATGGTAATTTTCTGCTTTAGAACAGGTCCAGCCCACAAGGAGGCAATTAACCATTGCCTCTATTAATGTGGATTTATCTTCATCAGAATATCTAGAGCAGGAAAAGACCAGAAAACACACAGAGGCATCCAAGAGACTGTAATCTAGCTGCTTCTTTTTTTAATCTTACATTAAAGATAAGAACAACAATTGTTACCCTTGATAACGTACCTGCTATGTGCCAGATACTAAGGAAAATGCTTTATATATATTCCTCCTCTTAATCTACTCAAATCCATGAGGTAGATATTATCACCTTTTACATTTCCATATGAAGAAACTGAAGCTTCGAAACCTTAAGTTAACTAGTTCAAAATCATACAGCTGATCGGTAGGTGAGTGAGCTGAGATTTGAACTTAGGACTGTAAACACTGTATTATACTGCACCCCATGCCACCATTTTTGGGTTGTTTGCAACTTACAAATAAGAAAAAAATCACAAATGCACCTCAATTATGTGCTAGGTTCTGTGCCAGGCACTTTGCTGTTCACCACCTCATTTAATCCTCTTTCCCATACAGTAGCGTAGGTGTTTTTAAACACTATTTTAAAGATAAGAAAAATGGACTCAGTATTCTGTGGGAAAAGGATCTGAAAAAGAATAGGTATATGACTATGCGTAACTATATCACTTTGCTGTATGCCTGAAACCAACACAACACTGTAAATCAACTATACTCCAATATAAGATAAAAATTTTTTTAAAAAGGTTAAGAAAATGGAGACTGAGAAGGATTGAGAAATTGTCCAAGGTCACAGATATCTAGTTGAATTCTAAGATACCCGTACGGTGTTCAGAGCATACACTGGGTGTTGAACAGCCCTGGGGTACCTCTCCTGTCACTATAAATGTGATCTCAGTATGCTCCTGTGGCTTCTAATCAGTTGTTCATTCAACAATTCACGCATGGTGGATACTTCAGTAATTGTTCACTGACTAGTCCCACCAAAATGCCACTTTCATGAAATGTTATTGTAATAGAAGTAACAGTTTTACAGCATGGAAAAGACTGAGGCGATCCAGAACTTTCAAACCTGCCTGATGGCCAGGTGATGGGAAGAATCTCACTACCTTGGGACATTTTAGACAGCTGAAATATCCTCCAAACATGGGACAGCTCCTTGCACTTGCTGAGCTCTGTTTAATGGTGCTGCCCCCTCTCTGATGGTGCAGGTTGCTTTCTCCAAGTGTATGTCTCTCCTATAGCTGTCCTATCGTGTGAGGACCTGTCCAGTGATCTGCTGGGGTCTAGAGACATCGGGAGGCTGAACAAGAAAGTCAGTCCTCCTTGGTAGCAAAACCCAATATGCCTTCAGAAAAACCTGAGCACCCGGGGAACCCACAAGCCCATGAGTCCCCTCAGCTCAGGGATGCCCGATATCCTCACTCTTTAGTCATCTGCATACACATTGCTTGCAGTGTCCTCGTGCAACCAGGAATCCCATGTCAACTGCATTTTCCTTTAGTCAACTGAACATGGCTGAACCAAGGGTAAGATGAGCCATTGGTGGCTGCGAGACAAACAGGTCTATCTATTTTCAAGTGATATCAACCCTCATTTTTCCTTATATGCTTCTGACCTTTAGGAATCCATGTCCACAGTAAGAATACCCTCTACTAGGTAACCTATTTGCATTTTCATAGGGGCTATCTGGGAAGCAATACTTTATCACAAGAAATAAATCTAATGGCAGGAATCTCGGGAAACTTCAGACGAAACAGTGAAGGATAACAGATCTGTATCATCCACTATGGATCTGCTTTATCCAGTAGGCACCACTATTCTCAGAGGACCTGCGTGCCATGCTTGCCCTGTGAAGAAGAGGTTGCTGGTGATAACAGTGATATAAAAGGCATGAAGGCAACTGTCTTCCAGACCGCTGACTCATGGGGGTTTCTAGGGCCATGGCTGGGCTGCTCTCTTCAGTATAACTCAACTGGTTATTAGCTTACTATAAATCAGACTGTATTGATAGAAGCTATTAACAAAAATTTGCTCGAGAAGCATTATTTGTGACGTCAGTACAGCAAATGTTGCTGAGTGCTTACCATGTGTCTATGCTGGGTGGACAGTATAAGGGACATTAAGGCCCTTGCCTTAATGTGAACGAAGGGTCTAATAAGAGAGCCAGGATGGACAAAGATATGACAGCAGGAGTGTGGACGAGACAGAGCAGGTGGGCTGATGAACACTGCTGGCAGGGGGGGAAGGTATTTCAGAGAAGACATCACATGGATTTTGCAGAAAGAATGGCTGTTCAGTGGTATGGAAATAGGTAAATAATATGGAAATGACCACATCTTAGCCACTTGGAACCTGGGCTGTATCTGAATTGGAACCAGTTACATAAACATTGTTTCATGCCCCCAGCATAACGGCAGAGAGGAAAATTTCCAGTTGACCTTCCACCTGATCTGCTTCTTTAGTTACTCAGGCAAAATGCTAAATTTGGAATGCTTCACAGATTTTGAGATTGTTACCATCCCATATCATGCAGTGTAAATGGTGGCTAAATTTGGTCCAGTCTGAATTATAACACTTTGCAGTTTCATGTGAGGGGCACCACAGGAGCTGCCCCTTTCCTCATTTAGAGAAACTCTGAGTTGAGCCGAGGAGGTAACTGTCATCTCCTAATGTTATTTGACCTTCTGGTGGGAGGTAAGACACGTAAGAGAGACAAAGATATAGCCATTTGAATGCCAAAAATGAAGAAGCGATTTTAAAATAGAATCAGGTTAATGCTGAGAGAGTTTTAGAGCTATCTCCACTTCCCTTGTTTTATAGATAAGAAGACAGAAGCCCAGAGGGCCCGGTGATTCCCCTTCTTCATGTGTTTCTTAAGGGGTGTCAGAGATGACAGTCACCAGACTACATGTGACTAGACACAACGATCATGCTAGTAAGTGGGCATGTGACATGAACTGACCAATCAGCGTCCTTCCCCAGACTTTCCTGACTTGACTTGAGGGATAGCTGAAGCATGTTCTTTTCCCCTCAAACTGAGACCTGTAAGACTGTCCCTTAATATTCGGGAAAGTGGAAGATAATGAGACCAATGCCAGTAGAATCAGACGGAAGAAAGTGTGTGTGTGTGTGTGTGTGTGTGTGTGTGTGTGTGTGTGTGTGAAAGAATGTGTTAACGGTGACGCCATATTCAACCACAAAGTCAGTTCGACCCTGACATTTGCTGGTTTGGTTACATAAGCCTTTTTCTTTTCTTAAAATGGTTTGAATGGGATTCTTGTCACTTTCAACCAAAGATCTCAACAAATACATGCGATGAAGTATGCAGGAGTACCAGCTTATGGGGCTGAGGTTGCCCAGATTGGAGAAAAAATAGGAGAAGGAAGCTGGATAGAAACAACAAAGCTGCTTTGATAAGAAATAACTTAAAAAATCATATTCATTTATATGCTCATGGTTGTACCTTTGCATGGAAATGATGATAATCCCCTATGTAAGTATGGGAAACTTTGCAGCTCCTACTTATATCTTATGCTTAAAATCCAGTTAGAGTTCCATTTCTCTAGCTTAAGACTTCGATCCCTGCTAGATGTAAGCATCCATAGGTGGAACAATCCTTTAAATCTCCAGCAATCATTTACAGTTCAATTTGAAGAAAATATAGCCCATTTCCTAAGAGTAGGTTGATAGGGGAGACGAGGTCTAGAGGGCCCTGGTCCTAGGGAAAGGGATGCAAGTGGTAGGTATACAGCATAATACAGCAGCCAAAGACTGGTTTTACCTACTTCACAGTTTTGCTTGGCACTGGCCATTGACCATTGTTCTATGGTCACTCCGTGTGCCAAGCACAGTGACCCCCACAGTAGATGTCATTGTTTTTTTAAGAAGGGACAAAATAGTCAGACAGGTCAACTAGTCTTCTATTCCTTTGCAAAGTAGCTTCTACAAGGATTAGAGTTGATGGCGTAAAGTCTCTGTTAATGCTCTATGCGTGCGATTTAAATCAAGACTCTCACAACCACCATCCTTAACTCTGTCCTCTTTGGAAATTATCAGACCTTTAATCACTGTTTGAAAAACCCACAGATGGCGCTGCAGAGGTATCAGCAAATCCATGAACTTAAAACTTCTTCATTACAACGTGTGCTTTGCTTAATTACAAGACGTGCTTTGCTACAGTGTGTTTTCAAAGAAAACATACTCTTAGAATCTGAATTTGGTATTGACATTATTTAATCAAGGCCCGAACCGCACCTGCGGTCTGAGCCATGTGTTTCTGGAGTTTTCCCAGCACATGTTTGCTGTAATAATGTCACACGTTAAATACAAAAGAGGTGGGGGGGGGGCGGTCTCACTTGTACTTCAAATGGAGAA